CTCTAAGTTCTATATGTCATAAAGAAGTGATTATCTTCAAACTGAGAAAATGGAAATGGAAATGTCTCTGTAATGTTTGTCATTGTAACTGAACAGTTCAGTTAAGTCATATTTTTAAGGCAGCAGGGAAACTTAAACAAGTAAACTCGGGGAGTGTTCCTCAGGTAAGTACCTCTTAGATGTTCAGGTCCTGATGACGTTGTCTATTAGCCTTGTTTATGCTGAGCTCAGCGCCGCAGGTGGTGTAAGATTACAAAATGTTTTTGTAATTTCCATTAAAATGTTATTCTGCAATACTTGCAAAGGTTGTGTAACATCTAATCATTTCCTTACTTAAATAGCTTTCTTATTAATTGTGATAGTTGCCGGACTGTTGTAAGGTTCATATCACATTTAGTTAAGAGTTCTTTGTCTACTGGTCTCTGTTGCTGGGGAAACTGAAAGGAAGGTTCTAAATGTGATGTTGTGCATGTGTCCCTGCACACAATGCCCACAACTTTTCTTTGAGTGACTCAAGTTCATGTACCATCTTTTTGAAGCGTGAAAAAAGTCCGCCTAGTGTGGATGGAAGGCCAAAACACAGAGGCAAATGATCAGCGTGTAAATTTAGTTTGCTAATGTTGTGCACATGGCCTTTGTAGCACATGTCCATGGCAAAGCTCAGTAATGGGAACGGTTCATTGGGACAGTAGTTCAGGGAGATAAAAAGAAACATCCCTCATAGCTGTGCCAAGATCTTTTCAATCCAGTATAAGCGTAATGCAGAAATGTCTAAATGAGTGAGTGTTCCAAGGTGAACCATAGGTTCTTTGTAAATTTCAGACTCATGCACACAGTAAGGAAAAAGTGTGAGCTCATTTTAGGGTGTGACATGCCTTCCTCAATCTGAATTCAGCTCCATGTGATTAATCAGATGAAAGCAGTGAATGAGAACACATTTTCTGACTTCATACAATAACTTGTTTTCCTTTGAACATGTCATTTTCTCTGTGAATAGTCTTTACACACTGCTTACATTAGACCTTTACGTATGATTTATTGCTTGTGTTGCAAGTCTCACATTTCAATGAACACATACTGGCCAGCTCTGTGCACAAGAATCATTATAACAATGTATTCTTGCTCCAAAGAGGAAGAAGCTCTATGATTCATGACCTGCAAGATTGATGCTAAAACTAACTACTGTCAGGGTGCTGCACTTACCTTTGCAGCACAGAAAACTAGTATGAGGAAAACTAAATATTGTCTGACTAACTGGCAGTAAAATGCATTTGCCTAATGTGATTTTTTTCTCTGTCGTCATAAAGCAAAAAAGTGCCTTGTAAATTATTCAGTGCCATTTGATCAATGTGAAATCCTCCTAGTCTCGATCCTCTCACACTCTCTCCTTTGAGCTTATTTTTCAGAAACAACAGAAGCACACTGCAGCAATGATGTTTGATTTCAGCTTTGATGGTGCAACAGTGTGGGGACGTTGCAAATAAATACACTCAGACCCTGAAATGAAATGTAAATGTTGCCCGACTGTACTCAGTGCACATATGAGTTCATCTTTTCTTACAGCCACAAGACCCCGGGTAAGACCTGGTTCCTGGGGCTTCAGCCCCGTAAGCGCTTTGAATAATCCAGCCGGAGCTGAGATGCTTCTCATTAGGGACAACCTTTATTGATTTCTCAATCTTCTGAAAATCACTGCCCCTCAGCTGATTCTTGCAGCTGAAAGTTCCCACATAATTTAGATAACAGTAGAAAGCTTAATTATTCGATTCTCCAGAGGACTCCAGGCAATGACACATAACATAATATTTTTTATAGCTAAAAATGAAGAAATATGAACAAAACACAAAAGCCTAAATGAGGAAATACATAGTGACTAAACAAATACAAATGTATTCCTGTAATCACAGCACTCACTATTCTTAATACTGTACAAAGTCTCCACTGTATTGTTAAAATTAGGTAGGAATATTATATTTTTCTTCTCAGAGATAAAGACACTTCACTTTCAAAAACTAATTGGATTCCCAGGTCAAAAAAACAAAACAAAAAATAATGATAATAAAAAAAACTTTTTTTCTTAGAAAAACAGCTTTGATGCACATTGCAGTTTCATCTGGGATCAGCTCTCACTTGTATCTAAGAATAAAGCAGCTCCTTTCCTGTTTGTTGAATAACTTCTGATAGGTGAGTCCTGAAATTTTAAAGATTTTTTAAGGGGCTATTTGTAAGTTTTCTCTGCGCAGAATATGGTTTCTTGCTCGGAGCAGGTGGTTGTGATTGTGGCTTGACAACAGCTTTGGCCATCGCTGCGCTTACAAGAAAAGAGGTAATAATACATCCTCTGAGCAGCGCTACGTCTTCAGGGTAGATTGGAGGCTACAGTGAGTTGCTATCATAAAGTGACAAGACGTGCCAGCACTAGCTGGTTTGTATGCTAACTTCAGTAGAAGAAAGGGCATGATAGATACAAGTGTCAATACTGGCTTTGCTTTGCACCACTGGAGGTAACTCTTGACAAGTAAAGGAATAAAGTTTGATGCTGAATGCAAAAAAAAAAAATGCTCATCTCAGAGATGACAAATGGAAACCTGGGAAAGAAGATCCTAGTTCTTCAGTGGTCTAAAGCTGACACTGGATGAGCACGGTGTCTCACTGTCACGTTTAAATGCATCTGCTTCTGTAAGCCAAATTAAATCCAATTTAAATGCCCTGTTTTAGATATCAGCATCCTGGAGCTAACAGGACTGTGCTGTAGTATATGATCCCTGGAATTTCAAAGACAAAATTTAAAAGGTAAAAGCTACATGCATGCAAACTTTCACCTGCCTGCCATTATATTCTAAAATCAATTTCTCCTACACACAGACTGGTTATGTGAAATCTATAGTAGTAAAACAACTTTACTGCACACAGAGCAGTGTGAATCACTCTGTGCTGGACAATGTAATACACGGGGAACTAATTACTATCGTCTGTATTTGAGCACAATGCCTTAGAATCACAGCCCTTCAAACTCATATCACCATCTCATCATCTATTCTGATGCACTGTGCTGTGAGCTGATGGCAAATATGGAACTGGCTGTTAAAAGGGGCACAAATAGCTGTTTATGAGGGATTGTCTTTGAGCAGTCGCTTTAAAGAGTTAAATAACAGTCCCATTAGCAGCAGCCTTTCAGTGCGCCATTCTGTTCTCCAAGACACTGATGAAGGTCGAGCTTAAATGACTCCAGCTCTCTGTTTGAGCCAGAGACACCCAGCTTAGCCACAGCTCTGGGAACTGGCTCACACAAAAGATTTACCCCACAATGCTGCTGGCCTAGATAGACACACCAAACACACAATAGGGTGGCTAAGCATAATTTAGAGCACATCTTTCCTACATTGACAAGTCCAAAATTAAAATGGAGCTTGTCAGCCAAATTAAGTATAAATATATCATGTCCACGGCGGACATTGGGAAGTTAAATCAATATTTGCCAACATGAACATAATAATCAGACTTGTGACATAAGGCCTGGAGCTGCTGTGCAGACAGTGAATGTGAGACAGATGTGTGGCCCCGAGGAAGGTTAACTCATTCAAACCAAACTAAACCAAATGTGTCCTCGTAACACAACGTGTTTTATCATACGACTGTCCTTGTGTTGTTAGATTTCACTTCAGAAGATTGAAATTTCAATTGTTACAGCCCCTCAGGTTTCCCTGGAGCCAAACAGACACTAGAAGGATATATTCAGGGGCGAGGCATCTTAAGTTTGAGATTTCCTTTCTTGTTTTTAAAGTAATTTTCATTTCCTGCTAAGCAACAACACATAAGCTATCTTAGCCCTGCAAGGATGTCAAATCCTCACACTTGGTGTCCCAGTTACATCCCTTTTGAACATACGCTCTTTCAAGTGAAATTAATCAATCTCTTTATCACTTGGGCAGTGTCATTACCCAACCACAGAGTGAGAAATGAAAGTGCTAATCGCACAGCAAGTGGGGCTTTTGTGAGGGAAGGCCATGTTTTCCTCCTCAAGCTGCCTTGGAAATGCATTTTCAATTGAATTTGTGAAGCAAGTGGAGGATGAATTCTGAGATTACCTCAAATTTACTTTATAAGGGAACATCAGATTTCAGTTCAGTTTTCCAAAAGCGATTCACTCACAAAAATGATGTTTGTATAAAAATACTCCATGGATGCAAATGGTATTTGTAACATGTAAAAAAAAAAAAAAAATAGAAACACTTGGAAAATTTAAACTGCAAATTTAGGCTATTCACAGGAGAATACTGTGGTGTAGTGTGCAGCCTGCTGTTTATGGAAACAATGTCAACCAGCTGTAACTGCTGCCATAAATCCACCGCAGAACATACGATAACATGATGATTTACTGTGTAACAATGTCTCATTAACCGTTTCACATTACCATAGTGTACACATCATTAAAAGTCCTAGCCCTGTTTGTCTCCACAGCGCCAGGGATTGATAATCCATCCATCAGAAAGAAGGTATTGTTATGCTACCCGCCCAGTCGAGCTGGCTTGATGGCTTGATGATGTCCTATAGCAGCCCGAGGTTTATGCTCCCAAACAATGTGTGTCAGAAAGAGGAGGATTACTTTCCCCGCAGAAATGGTTGCACTGGAAATGAATGTACATGAATACTGCACAATGTTGTACAGCAGTAATGACTGTCTGATTCTGGTGCGCGTAGACAGTCTGTACATAGGAGTGGATGCGGGGGTGCTCACACGTGCAGCATATCCAACTGCATGAAGCTTAATAGGTTCGCAGAGGTCTGTTCCATAAAATCCTCACGTTTGTACAGTAACAAAAATTGAAAATATTACTAAGAATACTAATAAAGTAATCCTGACAAATATGTATTTCAATGTATGGATTTATAATTGACTACTGCTATGATTTCACACCAGAGATGAAAGTCATTTGACCTAGAGGTTCAGAATTTGAACAGTGATTCAGACATTTATAGTGAATAATTAAACATTTTACCTGCTTTCCATGAGAAATGATGGTCCTTAGGAAACACAATGTCTGACTGGACTGGAGTAGAAAAGAGAGACAAGAGGAGGAAGAGGCTGATGTAGTTCCCAGCTCGCCGTGTCCAGGCAATGACCCCAAAGTCATCTTCTAGAATCATAGTCCAGCCCATTGCTTCCTCTCTTACTCCTGTGGGAAGAACATGAGAGTCATCAGTAACTCGCTCATAGAGACATAGGCTGCAGGAATCAGAGGGAGAGACTGTGTGTAGCTCTTCAAAAAAAAAAAAGGGGAAAAGTGAAGAAAGTCTCAGACGCTCTGAGGCTAAAGACATGTCCCACTGAAACCTCCAGCCCAGAAACATGACATTCAGCGTCACCTTCCAAAGTGCATCACACTGTCTCAGACATGAATAGTGTCATAGTGTTTCACTCTTTTTCTTTTCTTTTGTTCTTTTTTTCTTTTATTTTTTTTAATCCTGCATAGGAGTGAAGTGTGATACCATGCCTGCTTCTTCTCCCACATAGACCAAAAATAATTAGTCAGAGAGGCTTGAGCATCTCAGCCTCCCAGGGTAGATGTGGAAAAATGTATCGAAGGAAAGGAAGACTTTAAGCTTGGAATAATACAGGGTATTAGTACCTTTTTATTGCAGCTCATTTATTCCTATCTCCTGCTACTGTGATTCTTGTCCTAGGAGTGTTAGGGATTAGTCCAGGATTCACTTGGCCTCTAATTGCGTTGCATCAACAGCAAAATTAATGAATATGGAATTGAATTTGTAACACCTGATGCTCTGAGAGACTGATGTTTTGTGCTCAGGATTGCGGCGATTCATTTTCCAGAAACAAATTTTGCTGCACTGTAGCACTCGGGTATTGTGAGATTTGTTATTATTGTCTTATCATCCCACACGATGCTCCCTGCAGTTTGTCATTCTACAATCATGGAACAAATGCAAAAACACTTTCTGATACAAAGCAAAACTTCTAATTTTAACAAACAATTTGGCGTGAAATTAAATACATGAAGCATAGAGCACATAAGAGAAGAAGGAAAAAAACAACTGAGGAAGTGAAAACGTGAACGAGTTTATGAAAAAGTATGCTGGGATATGCTGTTGGATATTGACACGTTGGAATCAGTGATGCACACATCAGGTGATTCATTTATTGAGATTCAGTATCGGTATGCAATTGTGAGGAGATAGACGTGTTCCGTGGCACTGTTTGTATTTTTTGCATCTGCATCGTGACAATATGAAAATTGATTTTTATTCATTTTGTCTTGATCAATATCATAGAGTATCTGATGGCAGATTAACTACTGAGCGGGCATTTGAGATGTAAGATTATTTACACATGGCGAGTGCTGAATTAGTATTGCCTGATTTCATTCCGGGAAATTAAATTTCGACTTTGCTGCTTTTTGCAACTGTGTTTTGGTGGGGGCAAATTTTGTTTAATGAGAATGAATTGCGAGGGTGGAGATGGCTTGGTGCCCAGAAGTGGGATGCCAGATGCCCAGTTTTTGACGGACTGTCCAATTTTTCCTCTGAGTTTGATGTGTTATTCTATAGTCAAAAGTGTTGTGGTCTCTTTTCTGTCAGAAGAGCTTCTAAACACACAGCAAAAACAAATTCAGGGTTTGGCTCTTCAACATACAATTCTTGCTTGTATCTCTCCTCAGTACCAATCTGCAGTGTGGGTTTCACACACACTACACAAGCACAGGCATGAAATACTTGAAAACTGTCAGCCCAAAGAACACTGATAGCATTAACTCTCTCTGTTTTAAAGAACTCATCCACTTTGAGTAGAATGTATGCAGTTATCATCTGCTGTTTGTTAATAAAGCTGCCTCTGTATCACATTTTTGTTGGCCAGAAAATGTATTCTGTTTGGGTGGATGAGCAGAGTAGTCTGGCAGTTACGCGGCCATATGCCAATTAGAAACCTCTGGCTGCTGATTACTAGCCAACCTCTCGGGCTGCACTGCTCTGGAAGCTATACCTGACTGCACCCAGATTACATCCTCCCTCTAGCCAGTCTAATTTGACTATTCATGGGACAAGCTACGCTCTCCATAGGCTGACAGAACATGTCACAACTGATTGGAAAACATGGTCTTGAACAGAAACAAGCAGTGAAAACAAGCATAACCCCAAGGCGTCCTAGTATTGCTTTTTTTTTTGTTTTTTTTTATTTATTTTTTTTTTTTAAGTACACAAAGAAAGACGTGAGATTTTTCTTGTGTTAGACATGTTTGCAAAAAGTCAAATGGATGGTTGCTTTTCTTCGAGTCTATCAGTTTGAAGAGTCAGTGACAACTGCGTTCATACAGCTCAGGCTTGTGCTCATCCAGTCTGTGGCTGCCAGTAGAGGAGGAAGACAGGCTATCCCAAAAATCTTAAAAAAAAAAAAAAAGAAAGAAAGAAAAGCTCTTAAGCTGCTAAATATCTGGGTCAAAGGAACCATGCCAGGCTCTCAGTGGCCGCAGAAATCCTGGCAAACAGCAGCGTGGCTCAGATGTTGCTGTGCATCCTATTAGATACTCCACGATCTGATGGAATGCAATCTGCTTCTCTGTCTCCTGTGGTCCCTGTTTGGGGCTCACTCACTGGATTCAGAGGGTAAGGACCCTGCAGCTATCATAAGGGAACAGATGAGCAACACTCTGCAGCCTTCCCTTTCACAGGTGGTCACAATAATTAATGTTTGATTGGATCTTTCCAAATGAATGTCAAAAGCTAATTTGGTGTGCCAAGCCTCTGAAAAATCACCAAGAGATCCCCCCGTCCTCTCTTTAAATAAGCCAAACACCCAGTTCTGTCTGGAGTGGAAACAAAGGCGTTTGATCCCAGCCCGTTTACCAGAGATGCTCCCCTCTTCCCCGGATTTCCAGGCAATTATGTTGCCAACCAGCTAAGTCTCTCTTCACATTCTCAGCTTAAATTCCAGCCCATATCCCTGTGCTCTTCTTTGTGTACTGCATCCAGTATATTCAGGTTACCACAGCTGCAAGTATTTTCTCCACGTTGTGGTGCATGTAATGGTTTGTGATTGGGTTTGGAAATATAAAAACAGAAATCCATCCTCATCCAAACAAGCTGATTTTTGCAGATGTTTTCATTGGCAGGGATGACCGTGACAGCATTGTCAGAGATGCAACGCAAAACACAGTTTTGTTTGTGTTCCTTTGATCACAGGCTTGTGGGAGCAGCTGCATTCATCTGTCACTATACAGACTTATGTTTAAGAATATTACAGTCCATCTTCAATTTACTCTTGAATTCTTTTGACATTATGTGCATTATTCTGTTCAGAATAAAAAGAAAGACACTGTCCCAGTTTTATTGGCTGAACAGATGGTGACAGCTCAGAAACATACAATGTATTGTATTTATCATTTCTTCAAGGCTGAGTCTCTTGCGACTTGACATTAACAACAAATGGACACTGCTGATTGAAAAGTAATTGAATATATCTGTAGGCAGAGGAACAGGATCAAGTATTGTGCCCTATATGTGGTGAGGCAGAATGTAATAGTGTGGTTTGGTGGCGCAGCCATACATTACCTACAGTTTGTTTGCCATAAATAAAAACCTAGAAATGGTTAACCATCCCCATAAACAACTGCAAGCACACTTAATACACTGTAGCTGTCACTGCGTGATTTACAATATACACTGTACCTGAGCAAGATGACTGCCAGTCATCCCTTTGGGTGATCTGGTTGGTGCAGCGGCAGATGCTTTTCACTAGTTTTTCCACAGAAGACAGGAGCAGGGCAGAGGAGGCCTCCAAAGACGTTAAGCCTGACAGGGACGGTAAATCAGCTGCGCCAGGCCTTCTGCCTGAAGCATCCTGCAGTGGCTTAATCCTGTGTGAATCAATGTGTAGAGGGCTGGGACTGTGTCACACCTCCAGCGGCACTGACTGGTATTAACTCCCTGGCGCTGTCTCAGTCAAGTACCCACCCACTGATGTTCCTTGTGGGGTTAGCACGGGAGTCAGCCTGGGATACAGGGTCTGAGGCAAAGACAGAAAAAAAAAAAAAGACACTGATATAAACATCCGATACTGCTGCAGATCAGACTCTTTATGCAATGACATTATCAAGATTAAATTTCTTTCATATGGCACATTGATGATTGCTATCTTGCTTCGCAGGGGTGTGCAAAAACCACAGGCAGCCAAAAGGAATGAATGACAATGTGTAGGTGTAGCGAGGCTCCATAAAGATGCATGACTTGAAGGTAGTGTCCTTTCATTTCATACACTATCAGTACACATTGGTCCAGAGGTATGACTTTGCTGTGCTTTAGAATCCATTCATGTGTTCTGTTGCATCCATGCTGCTATTCATCTTCAGGGGAAAAAATCTCAGATAAAGTTTTTTTGCATATAAAAAAGGATTATCGTGTTTCCCAAATTTAGACTTGCTGCAGTTAAAGGGGAAGGGCAACTTCACTTATGCATCGTATTAGCACAGCGTTGGTTGTTGGTTTACATAAAACTGCAAGGCTTACAGTGATGTTTTGTCATTGGCTGTGTACATATTCTGACAGTGATACTAAAGACAAGGGTTGCAGCTCTGGGTTTTGCTCACCTTTGAAATTCAGTGATTACCTGTCAACCCTCCAGCCAAGCCTGTTCTGAGAGCTCATCCAGAGAAAACTCTGATTCTATTAACACCTCTTGCCTTTGTCTCTCATCCACCCCACCTCTTTCCTCAGTTGCCCCAGCTCTAAGCTCCGCTCCTTTATTGACCTTCTTGGCCAGGCACCTGAAAACCCCAGATCCCAGTGACCCAGACCTTATTTCCCAAGGCTTTTAAGTACTTTGCCTTTCCATTCCATTGTGGCTCAAATGAGTTTCACTCGGGAGCTGCACCTCTCCCCCTACAGCTGGCAACTAACTAAGTAAAAGCCAACAAATAGGATGGAAGAAAGGGGCTCCTGGTGGATGAAGCAAAATCAATTGCCAACATGCAGTTTCACATAGGGACAACAATTCATTTAATCTATATTCAATCACAACTTTAGACTTCTATTACAGTCAAAGTGTGTGTGTGTGTGTGTGTGTGTGTGTGTGTGTGTGTGTGTGTGTGTGTGTGTGTGTGTGTGTGTGTGTGTGTGTGTGTGGTACCTCTTACTGTTTCTTCTGCATCTATTTGATAATACAGTAATTACTGTTGTCTACTTTAAAAACATGGACAGCTTTAAAGAAACCGGAATAAATCGTCTGCACAGACACTTTACAGGTTTTTGTAGGGCTCCTACAAACATAAACAAAAGGTAACGTAACAGGCCGACACAAATGCGCCGTCTCTGAGGATGACAATGGCGCTCTTTTGGTTCATCAATCCGCCAAGTTCCGTCCACACTGAAACATCTCCAACAAGTGTTTGCCAACCTCTGTTGTCTCCAACTTCAATCTACCTCATGATTCTTACTGTCCTCCAGGGGCTGGTTACCTCACCTGACTTGGCACTATCCTCCAGTCCCACAGCCAAAAGCCCGCTTGACGGGACAACAGAGCTTTTTGCTCTACATCACATGCACTGGTGTTATCATCCATTAAGAGAGCATTAAGCCATATACCCTGACTCTGTGGTGTGTCACTGTCTCACTGCACATGAATTGTAGCTGCTAAACATTTCTTCTTCTTTTAAAACCTGTGCAAATATAAAAAAGTTAGAGACATCTGCAAGCTGCTACAAAACAATCGGACAAAATCTTTGCCCAGCTTAGATTTTTATGTTGAACAGATGCTAATATGACAACCCGTAGACTGCTATTACCAACACAAACTGTATAAACACAGCACAAAGGGGAACATTATTATTTTCTCCCTATGCAGCTACCTGCATCACTCTGGGAGATGAAGACCCACATATTGTGCTGATATCAGTGAAGTACAGTTATACATAATATTGTAACATAATATTGTATTTGGTAATATGGTAATCTTCTGCTCGTGTGGGTGGATGCTGACCTTAATTATCTCTGGCACATTACCATCTGTGAAATTATTTCTGGTTGCCTTTTATTATAATCAATTATTTATGAAAAAAAAGAGATTTTAGAGCTAAGACCTTGATCAGGGTACGAATTCTCATTCACATCATTTGAATGTGTCTTGAGTTTTTCATGAATAGCCTTGTTAGAATTCAGACAACTTTCTCTGTATCACAAACCAGTGTCTCCCGCTGTACCTCGGCAGACAAACAACAAATTCAACGCATCACCAGAAACAGGCCATATGTTTTGCCATGCTCCCAGAACTTGGAAATCACTTTCCCAGACAGTTAAGACGTTGTATGTGGCTGTATCTGAAAGAGAGAGGTATCGCTACTCTGCCAGCACCTCAAACAGTCTGGCAGCCCAAGCAGCTGCTCCTGAAGCCGGGGTTGTGAACTCAATCAGCTGCATGTTTATCGTCGTGGTACCGGACTTACTATGGCTCTTTCTGCCTGCCTCCATGTGCTGGAGGTGCAGTAGTATGGCTAGTTAAGCAAGCTGACAGGGTCACAGCAGCAGGTAATGGCAGGAGGGAACTTTTAAGTCAGCAGTGCCCACCAAACCTCACCACACAGAGATCAGTTAAATGATACCATCCATCTATTCCCGAGTACTTTTTCTCACAAAATCTGGGGGAATTGGCCTTAAATCTTTTTAATCTCTACATTGTGACGTTTTCTTCTTTTTCAGATTGTGATTGCTGAAAAAAAAAAAAAAATAGAAGAATTAGAAATTGAATCACTGAATTAGCTGGCCTGGAAACACATGCATCTTTGGAAGATTGCTGAATTACAGTGATTAATTACTAAGCAAATATGATCAGACAGGGTAAATTTGAAAAAGGCAAAAAGTGTGGCACCAGAATGTTTAAATATGGACAAGCTGCAGAGGATCTAATCAAATTAGTTACATCAAATACTATTACAGAGAGGCAATCTTTACTTCAGTACACTTAAGTGTATTTTCATTTGAGTCACAATCCACAAGTCCTCAATCATTATAGTTACCGTATTTCTTGGTAAATGATTAATGTCTGATGAAAGGAAAAAATCACACCAGGCAAAGCTGAAGCACACAGCGGTCTTAATATACAAGCTGGTGTTGTGTGTTGCTCAAACTCGCCTGATCCAGAATAAGAATCACTGCACGTGTGATCGATTGCAGCTCAGCCTCATGTTTATCAAAACAATCCCGAGTCGGTCAGAGAGAGGCACCACTTCGAAAAGATAAATTGATGTACTTCAATGCTAAGCAACCCTGACGTTTAACAGAGAATACTTCCATGCATCAAAGCCGCTTTAGGCATTAAAAGGTGTTTAATTTCATAGCTACAGTGGATATTTATGCACCATTTACTCGCTAGCACAGTTCTCTGTTCAAAGTGAATCATTAGCCTTTAGAGAAAAATGACGTTAATTGATGTGATGCCTGAGACAAAGCTACAGAGTATTGTGTTGTTAGCCAGATAATTCTCACTGAATATTTTTTTTTTCACACCATAAATAATTTATCAAAGACATGAAAAGGGATATCACAGAATGTCAAATTAATGCAGAACAATAGCAGAACAAAAGCTGCAAAATGATAAGGCTTTTTCTATTTATTGGTATGAACATGCTCAATAAGACTCAGCCAAGTCTCTAAGGAAAACAGCGGAAACGGCTAAAGTTGCTTTCGGTGAAGGGACATCTCTCATCTTCCTTACACAGAATTTTAATTGGTAATGTTTCAGGTAGTTCATCCCGAGTCAAAGTAAAGTAACTACATCCCCCTAGAGAAGCTCCGACAGCATCTGCAAAATAGAGCAAAAAAGGATTTGGAGCAGAAACAGACACCAAAAACAAATGTCCCTGCCTTCTGAAGCAGAGCTGGGAAATTATTCCACAAAAGACAGAATGAGAGGGATGGAGAGCTTGAAAGAGAAACAAACCGTTTCTGGATAATCGGATTTGTTTTGTGTGGCTGTTCCACCTGGCCTCCCAGCCCCTACCTCCCCTTCATTAAAAAAGCTTATAATTAACGCAGCACTGGCTGTAATCCTGGTCACTCCGTCTCCCCTTTTCAATTGATAAGAGCGTCTCGTGGGACCAGGGTAAGCAGGTGAGCGTGTCTGAGTCCCGACTGCTGAGGATCCAGAGGGGATTGTTGCCTGGAGAGGGAGTCATCAGTGTGAGCGAGGATGGGGGGAGGGTGGCAGTGGCGGTGGGAGGGGGGGGGGGGGCATGACGGCGTTGGGATTAATTCTGAGGAGGCCTGGTTGCTGAGGCAGGCTGATAACATGGGTCAGCAGTTCCAGAGACACCTGGACCCTGAAGCCACAAGTGTCCCTGTGGAAAATAACTGCTAATGTACTGAGAACTGTGTGCATTTATCTCCGTGAGTGGGTGTGTTTTGTATGTGTGTGGGTGGGGTAGAGGAGGGGTTGATACCTGCCTAGCCTGCAGAAGATGACCAGAGATGGCTGAAACCTGTAAAAAGTCAATTATACAGAGGGAAAATGTGTGGAGGAGAAGGGGAATCATGGGTGAAATTAAAAGCCTGCTTCTTGTGATAAGTGGTGATGATGTGAGGTCTGTTCCTTTTAGAAACTGGTGATCTAGGGTTGTGTAAAAAAATGTCAAAGTGTTCCAGCATGTTGGAGAAAGAAGAGGCTGTGTGATGTGTGAGAAAGAGCTGGATATGTAGTGTTGTAGTTTGACACAAGACTAAGCAGCTACTGTAGTTTTCTTTGTAAAAAAAAAAAAAAAAAAAAAAAAAATCTGCACAATGTTAATAATTAACGACGAGCCTTGACTGATTTCATTTTCCATGAATACATCAGAATACAGTCCGCTGATCTATTGATTGTCCGACATGTGCTGCATCCTGACAACATATGTAAAATGACATGTCTGTATGCAACAAATTCCCCAATGCCAGTTCAAAGCAGGCTTTGCATAATAAATGTGTACATTTTAGTCATTGCATATTTTTAGATCAAGGCGCAGTCGAGACGTTGCCAAGACTTGAAAATAGAAAGTCTGTCAACAAAGCCATAACAGGTCAACCAGCACAAGCCGGTGCACTGACACTCGAGAGATGCTAAAAACAAAACAAAACTAAGGCTGGAAAACATAAGTTAATGTTTTAACTTGTGTTGTCAAGCATATTCAAATATTACTTTACAAATTCTAAGACAAAGCTTTAGTTTATGCATAAAGACACCATTTTGTATCAAAAACATTATCATTATCTTTCCTCCTATCTCGGTTTTAAATGTCAGAACATTATGTTCACTTTGTTCAATGACCTTTCCAAACCCATCAGCTGCAACACTAATAACCCAGACACTCACAGCTATGTTTCTATCTCATGCTGTGCTGTCTACATATTTGAAACAATGAGACAACTGCTATGCGTTGAGCTACTGTGTTTATTAATGTGCTGAAAGTCAACATGTGTGTGACGTTATCAATCCAAAGCTGTGGGGTACCAGACATCAGGGACGCACAATCGTCTAATTGAAAAGGCACTTTATCAGAGGATTGCACACTCATTCACACATTCACATTCATAACCGCTCATTTCTTTCTTTCTTTTTTTAATTTTATTCTTTAATTTATCAAAAAAACAAAAACAAAAAAACAATCAGACATTTACAGCACCAGTCTGCAAGCACCAACAAATTCACAAACACAATTTCCAAATAACCAAAAAACAATGAAAGACATGCACCCAACGAACAGACACAACACACCGGGCACATTACACACAAACATGCACACACACACACACACACACACACACACACACAGACACTTTTTTGACTTTTGAAGTCTCTTCTGTAAAGTGGATAAAGTCTAACTGCACTGTGTCAGAGCTCAAAGTTCACATTTCGAGGGATGAATGGAAACAAGTTGGCGCTTTGTGCTTTAAGGAGGCACCAGTATTGTGGCAAGTGATAAGGGCTCAGGACAATAGAGAAAAGCTGCCTGAGAGGCTGAATGCTGAGTCTGTAGCCATCTGGATTATCAGAGTGCAGCCATGGATGGAGAGGAGAGGAGAGGAGAGAAGACGAGGAGGCTGGCCCAGATTCTGTGACTGGGAATTATGGTTCCATGTAGAGGGAAGGCACTCAAACGGGTGACTTCCTGTATTGATTGATGGGTGTTCCAGGGATTAAACCTTAACCTTATATTGATCCAGTTCACTTTGCAAGTGTGGATACAGGGGAAATGCACCAGTCTTAAAACAGCTGTTACCCTTCCCTTCACTGGATTCTTAATTTGAAATGTTGCATAAAATGCTGCTTAAGGCCCTATCTGGGGTAGCTTACATGAATGAATTGTGGTGCTCTTGTAAAATCTACCTGTCAGGTACTCCAGCAAAGAAAAAAATCTATTATTTACAAACAATGTCTGACCCAAATCTGACAGGCACCTATGTGCACTGTAGATATGGCAGCGCTGTTAGCTCACCAATAGGATAACTGATGTCCCTCACAAGTGTTGGTGCTACAAAAGGCTGATGAGTAGGAAATAGAGATGATAGAATGCAATTTGTCACTCAAGCCATGGGTGTTTATGTAGAGTTTATGAAAGGAAGTAAGTACCTACTCTAGTATTGAGTACACAGACAATGTTTTGGCAGCTGCAATTAGGCTCTTCGCTGAGCCTGCGAGCATGTGAAAGAAACTGTCTTCCCTGCTTTACAAGAATACACAATCATTTGTGAAGATTAGTCTGTGAATGATGGCAACATAATGATGACGGGAGAAGGTAACTCTCAAATTATGGCAACATATACATTAAATCACTCATGTCTCCCTGTTAAATGATTGGCTCCAGTGTTCCATACACACACTATGGCCAAATCTCATTTGCAAGAATCAGTGG